AGCTGAGAGCCATAGGCGAAGTCTGATGCGTCCCTGTACCGAAGAGCGCTGCGATCGCGCCTCTAACTTGTACCAAGCTTCCACACCCGTTGATGGGATCTCACGCAGTGGAATATTCACGCATCCTAATCGACAAATAATACGTCATGATGTAAACTAGCAATACTGAGTTTTATCTCTCTTCCAGAGGAATGATTGCGAAGTACTAGATTGTCGAATCAAATAAATAGGGACGTATTACTAAATTAAAAACTAACTACAATGCTTACCAAGAAAGTCATCCTGACTGCCCTGTCGTGCACTCTGACAGACTTGCTTGAAGAATCTTCCGAGGCCGCGGACGCCGCGCACTTCATTAAGCCTGGACACCGCATCTAGCACTGAACTCTCGTCGTCGTGGTCCCAGATGTCCAGGTGTAGAACATCCGAGGATATGTCATCAATGTCACTGCCGCAGAGTTAGTTTAGAAATTAGGTAGCATTTCTGTTTAACTCTCAATGTTCGGTTACACAATCTAACACAACATCGACACCTTCATGCATTTAGCGAAACATTTATAACATAATACAACATTTGTCTCCAAAACAACATAAAGAAAACGCATAGAACTAATTTATAACACGTACAAATAACTCTAACAATATTTTCCGCTTATGTACTATGAAACTTTGTCGACAACGTGAAGTTAACGAAGATTGAGTAAATACAATTAGTTGGTATCCAATTTTTATGAATATGGACAGATCGTAACAGCAGGTTTAATAAAGATTTTGTACCTTATATCAATTATCTAGCTAAGTATTTAAAAACTAAAGAACTTGAAGAAAACAAAAGCAAACCACATTGCAGTAAAAAAAATAAATGACACATAACCAAAAGAGTAGCGGAGAGATACGACAATACAGATATGTAAAATGTGCCTGTTGTCTTACAATTTAAAAGTCTCATTCCATTTGGGCGATAATGTGTGCGGTCTAACACTAGTGGCGCGGATGTATCGTGCGGGCAGGCGGCCGAGGCTGTCGCGCTGCTGCCGGCCGTCGCGCCGCTTGAAACTCAGCCGGAAGCCGTGCTTGCGGCCCTCGTCCTCCGACGCCCGCGGCGACGCCGGCAACGACGCCGGTTGGATTCCGAGCATGCAATACGGATCGCTAAATCCTAAAAACACTACTTCTTAAGCATCACCAAGTATCATTCTACTGAGAAATGATCCTTAACGCTTGTATTTACCTTTCAAATATCAATGTTATATTGATTTTGATCCGTGTCAACTATGTTTGATTTCTTAAAGCATCAAATGAGTTGCATTCCGTACAAATTCCTATTATTAAAAATCATTTGGATAAACGAAGGAATGAAGTTTTAATAATCAAACGTAATTTCATGCTTAATTTGTGGTAGATGTACCAAAGTATGTTTGAAGTAAAACATAATCTCGTAACCTGTTTTAATAGTTAGTTTGCATGATAGAAAACACTTTTTACCCAGCATGGGCCTACTTTCATTACAAACATCCCTTTTGACATTTTTAATATCGTAGATATGAAATATACTTCTAGCTTCTACCACATCACTATTATTTCAAAACATGATTGATGTGAATTGTATTTGCATGATCGTGATTAAAAAAAATATTTCAAACTATACTAAGTAGTTGCACAAACCTTCAACTTTTTATCTACCTATCTTATCAAAATCAAAAGCTACTTCTTTAGAAATAGTAATAACTACATAACTCGTAATTTTATCTACGTGTTTGATATTTTACGTACCGTTAGCATCTTTAGCTTCAAGACCGTCTGCTTCGATGACAGCACATCCGAGTACGACAGTAGGCGGTCGTTCACTGCCAGCCGCACGAAGAGCTCTTGCGTGGATGTCCACTGGGACTCTGAAGGCGCGGCGAGCGTATTCAATCACTTCTTCCTTGTATGCCGCGAATTGACCATCAGGCGCCGGAGCGCCTACTGCATTCTCAATGCAGTACAACACCTAGTTTGTAAACAGTTATAAGTTATTTATTTGACGGGAATTTGGGTTATTTTATTTCATGGATTTAAAAGTTATACAGTTAAGAAATGAAAACTTATAGATCTATACTATATTACAAGAAACAGTTTGGCCTATCATTGGGAAAAGGGACGCTTTGTAAAAAAAGAACAGGTACATTACGCACTCGCTAAAATGCTATAAAAGTTCACGATAAGAAGTATACGAAGCAGGTTGCGTGTTTGATTTCAATTAACTGTATCTAGTCCGTTATTATCTGTAGTAACAAAAAGGCTGACTTATTAAAGGAAGAGTGCGAGGGTACGCAACGAAATTCACGTTTTTGTAAAATTGTGTTTTGCGTAAAAACAAGAAATTAAATAGTATTTTAGAAGAATACAATCACGAAAAAGGGGGATAAAGTGACGATTAAAGGCACATCGTTCACATGCAACTATAATTTTAGGCAGTTAATAGGTTAGGGAAATTATTGTCAACCAGTAAAAGGAAAGAAGTTTACCTCAGTATACAAGTGATCGTGCTCCTTGTGGGAGAGTTGAGCGGACACGCTGGGTAGGCCTAGATCATGTGGAGCCGGGGGCGGGCGCTCCGCACGCGCCTCCGCCAGTCGCAGCGCTGCCAGGCGACGATTCTCTTGACGCCACGATAGAGCCGTGAAGCTCTCGAAATACGATCCGTCTGTATCTTGAACCCTATAGTGACGATCAATACAGAAGTAAATTCAGCACTATTTTATACAGAATTTAGTTTTGAAAAAAGTAAAGAAAAACAGTTTATTATAAGTTGATATTTTGCACATTTTTTGTAACACAGGTATCTAAATATATTACTGTATTTAATGTGTAATAATTATCTACTTTTATACAACGATGTCATAAAGGACTAAATTGTTTGAATAACTAGGTGTTCATTAAGGACACGTGCGCGGAGGCCGGGGCACGCCGAGCGAATAAAGAGAAAGTAATTAGTTGTCGGAAGCTCACATCACATGCGAATCACACGGGCGGTTTGACGTAGACACAGTAAAAAGAAAATTAATAGCAACTACGAGAACAGTAGAAGATTCTACCTAATAAAAACAAATAGCCTTGAAAAAAGTTAACACTTCAAGCACTGTGGTATTTTTACCTCCGGAAGTAGAGGGAAACTGAATTAGCAATGCAAAACTAGATAGCAATCGTAGCACCGGATCTTTGTGGAGGCCCGACTCCTACGCGGGAATGGAATTACTTTAGCGGACGTTTTATACTCCGACTCACTCAATTTAAAGGTGAGTGTGACATTCTTTTGAAATTTACTACATTAATGAAGTAGATTATATTATTAAATCCTGTCTGATTTTATTCTTATCCTATGGATAGAGATCTGACATAAAGAGTAACCAAATAGAACGAAAGCTTAAGAAAAGAGTTGGTATGTTAAACAGTTGACAGTCAAATACATTTCAAGGAATTATCATATCATACAAACGTTTCACTTAATACTAAAGTGTTAACCATACGCAGTAAATTATAACAAAGTTTTGCTCCGAGGCAGGCAGTTCCAATCTATTGTACTGCCGCTCAGAAAGTTTTCCCTTATTCGGGCTTCCCTTTATTTGCACCTGTCCTGTGGATTGCGGAGGCCGTAAACTATTGCGCCGACGGGTCGCGCCGTCGGCTACGATTCAACAACTTATGTAAATTTCTATTCATCATTTTCCCAGAGTTTCACATCATATTGAAACCTTTTCAGAAACAATGTCAAGGTATGATATGCGTGTGATATATAAACTAGTTTATGAATATGTTATGCAAGCAAGTTAACCCATTTTTTGTTTTGGTAGAAATGTTTTTTTAATGAAAGAGGGTTAATATGTTCTAAAATCAAAGATACCAACCGTTTTAATATACCAAACCATTTAAATTCAATTAATTTAAAAGTCAATAAAATAGTCACTTGGGAAGGTTTTAGAATCTTTCAATAATTGAACCATCGACAAGCGAAATAGAGCAACGACAGTGGTATGTCACACCTGCCATCTTTATGAGCGGCCATTACCGAAATTAAGTCCACTTGCCACTCGTTACAGGACATTATGGTGTTCGAAGTAAAAGCATTGCAGTATCATTTTTATAGCTTCATTTAGGTAATAATCAACTCCACCGAATACTAAAACTATAGTTTCTCTGTCTACAATTACTGCTTCGAATTTATTAAGTGGTCCAACCGGAAAACGTAATTGTATTTGGATTACGCTTTCTTAAAATACTTCTTACCCCGAGTTCACGGAATTGTCAACTTCAGGCCAGGAGAGGCGTCGCTTGCAGAAAGCCATGGTCGGCTTCTCTGGCGGCTGTTGACGGGGTGTACGGAGCGAGCCCCCGCGGCGCGGCGGTGTGAGCGGCGCTAGGCAGTCAAGTGTGCGCCGCCGAGCACCCAGAGCCGACACGCCTTCAGTTGGCACCACTCTCGGATAACCTACGTATACACTTTTGCTAATTTGTGTTATATTATGTTGCTAGATGCTCACTTCCCGACCAATAAAAATGCAACATCGAGTATACAGATTAACACGTTCATACCTATTAAAAAAAAACGAATTCATAAAACATAAATGTATGTGTCGAGACTTAACGAAGATTAAAGTTAGACTTTCCTTCTTCAAGATGACCCTTATTTATGAAATAACCGCTAGCAATTACACGTACTTACATAATAACATATGCAGAATAACTTGACACAAAAACGTAAATTCTCATCTTCCCACGGGGCACCGCAAATCATTTTTTCATTGTTATTTCAGGTGGCGCAAGCTGCTATGACATCACTAGACTAGGGTGTTATGTTATTGTGCACATGTACTTACCTCTCATAGTAGCGGTGGATGGTTGCGGCTTCTGCTGCGTATCTTCGGAGCGATGGCGGGGCGGAGGCGCGCGGCGCGGCGACAGCGCCAGCCCGGCCACGCTGTCGGCCATGCCGACCACGTACTGACCGATTGATGACAGGAAACTCATCTCGACGTTCACACCACACGCATTTGTCACACAACTAACACGAAACTTCACACACTTTGCTAGTGTCAATTAAACGCGCACATAGCGCGTTTATTACACAACTGTCTGATAACCTGTAAAAAAAAAGAAATAGTTATAATTTTATACATTACATCGCTATGCATGCCTTTTAAAAAACTAGCTTTAAATTTAAAGTATCTAAATAATATAACACAACATAAATGACTTAGGTTTCATCACCAGTTCGCATTTTCGCGTTAATGAAATATAAAAATCACGAAGTAAGCTTCGTAAAAATTTCACAGCAACTTATGCAATACACAATTATTACGATGTCACCGTCTCATTTCAGGCAAGTTAGATTATGAAAACGTTTTATTAAAATAGTATAGATTTCTTTACCGTTTGCCTGACCCACAATTTATGACATGATTCGTTTGAAGTAAATTGAGCAATTTAGGTAAATAGCAGACAGGACATGCTAGTCTTTACTATTCTGAAAGCACGAGACCCCGACTTGATTAAAAAATAAGGCAGTTTAATTTCGTTCTATTATTTCAGTGGCACGAGCTAAGTTCCGACTGAGGAAAATAAGTTTATCTATTAGCCAGCTGATTCAAGTTCTCCGCAGCTCGGAACACTGAATTAACTTGACTTTCACAGATACCATTCCTTTTTTTCTTTCCGTTTTAACTTTAAATTTAAGTAATGTAGAAAAGAGTACCCTCTTACATCGTTTCTTAATTAAAAGTTAGTCGAACTTGATATTTTAAATTAGATGTTTGAATATTCTTCAATTAGACTCTTTCCTTATTAGCCCATTAATTGTGAATGTAAAGAGTTATTAAACCAAACACAAATGTAGTAAAACACAAAGAATTTTGATTACATCACGTGTCAAAACATGAGTCGATTTTGGCAAAATTTGTGTGTTGAAACAAATTATAAGGAGCGGTACGTAGAACGTAATTAATTTCAAATTCCTTTTCATTAAAGTTAATTCGTTGAAACTGGAAAAGTTAGTAATAATTCCTTTCTGTTCGTATTATTCGTAGTTATTACGAAAATAGTACTTCTGTTGATACGAATACGTATTCTAAGTAATGCCTAAAAATTAAATGTTACAAAGATTCTAAATAAAATTTACGCAGACGCTTTTTGCGCTAATGGGCAAAATGGAACAAACACAGCATTTTGATAAATTCCATTGAAAGATAAAAAGGTGATGCGCATGAATAATTTATCAGGGTTATGTATATTTTTGGAAGGGAAAACCGTGTTTTATTATTCAAACAACTTTTATATGAGCAGATCTTTTTTATTGTACAATTGATCGCATTTAAAAAATGTCGTTTCGCTTTCCGCGCCCTAGGCTCCAATCTTCACAGATTCTTTACTGTAGAAGCTAAGTAATCGGATAAAATCGTCGTATTCGGGCTTTAATAACTAACATAGTTAATAATAAGGTAATAAGGGTATCAACACAAACCGAGTTTCACTCTTGGGGTCACTTAAGCCTCACTTTATAGACGGGAACCTAAGTGGACCTCAACCGACTCAGGGTTATAATTCGATAATATCAAAGTACCGGCCAGATTTGAGGTTCCTCAGGGAGTCATCAAGGATAGTGGCCACAAAAAGGTTAACACCAAAGAGATTTTATACATACATCAGTTATAGAGTGGACAAATTCGTCAGTAGACAAATGCAACTTCAAGTGCGGAAGTAGAATTTTTACCTTAAACATTAAGCAGATTGTCCTATCTATATCTACATATGTTTAATGTCTGTGGTTTCTATCTCTCTATGTTTTATCAAGTCGTACATAAATGTAAATGTAACTACAAAAACCTTTATTCTTGTAATTATATAGACAAATCACAATTGTAATCAGTCGGATCGTATAATTATCTGTCTAATTGTGTGTGTTAGCTTGTCAATGATTAGCCAATACAAAATGATTGATTTACGTAATAATTGTCATGACAAAGCTCTTAGTCGACGCTGTTATAAATGCTTCGATTTGAGTTTTTTGCGAGTGGCTTTTACTACTACTAAATATTTTTTAGTAAAATTTCTCTCAGTAGAGCGAAAAAATTGACTTGTTTTAGAATACAAAATAAGATATGAAAGGCCACTGTTGTACCAGACGGACATGAAATATTCATATTATGAATATTAAAGCAGAACCGCGACAGTACAAACAATAAAGTTAGTGTAACTCTAGTTGGTGCACACTTTATTTATGCTGTTCAAAATATTGGTTTAACTTACACGGAAATATTTGTGTAAACCGTTTACTATATAAGATTGTACTCGTAGAACACCACACCATATTAAATTAAACCACTTTTATAAATTGTAATATACTTAAAATTTAGGTTATAAATTATACTACTAAGATACTGTCAACATTTTACACATTCACTTGCCTTTTCAAGGTACTTCGTCCGCGTTAAAAAAAAAGTTTGATCAGTGTAACCAATGTACTTAATGGCTTAATAATTTTTGATTTCGGTCCAATAGTTTTTGTTACATGTTAAGATTCAAATCTGTCCTCTTTATATCTTACTTCATACCGATATTATAAATGCGAAAATTTAGATGGACGGATGGATGGACATTTGTTTAACGGCTGAACGGATTTCGATGAAAGGTAAAGATGTAGAGAATAGTCTGAAAGATCATATTGGCTACTCACTTTTTTTTAATTCCACGCGGACGGAGTCGCGGGCAAAAGCTAGTAGATAATATAAATGATGTCTTCGTGTCTACCGACAATAACGTATGTTCGTCCATACAAGTAGATCATAACGCTAAGTAGCTGCACTCCCACGGTCTGGTGAACTTTACAAGCTTTCATTACGTTGCGCTCAGCTTGTGAATTTCCACGAAATGATGTAGCTCAAACAAGGCCACTATATTACAATGTAAAATGTGTCTAGAGGATTCGTTAAGGTTAAAGCAATTCTTTTAACGTTGTTTTAAGTACGTTGTATGTATTACTATTCAGTCCTATTAACATATTTAAAAGCCAACCCCAAACTATTTAAGACATTACACAACTGTTTATGAAGAATTTTTAAATGTCAAAAATCATTCACAACGCATTAGGATCGCGCGCACCTTTGACAAAACTATCTCACAACTAGTCGCGCTTTGATTTCTATCAGACTTACAAATAAACGCTGTATAAAGTTATACTTAGGAATAAACTGAGTATAAGCAAAATGTGTATAATATTTGCTGATACTCAGTTTATTCCTAAGTTTAACATTATACCGCGTTTATTTGCAAAGCTGTGTCAGTTAAAACGGAGGTGCGTACACCCCTCGATTTTTTGTTAAGCAACTAAACAGTTGAATTGGCCTCGAAACAATCGACATTCGCACAAAAACTGTGCGATAGTATAGTCAAAGGTGTGCGTGCTCTAAGAATACATCTCGATGTGAACAAAGATAAACTCACAAAACCCTCGCAATAAGTACACATTATGAACAAATCAAAGGGCGCTATTAGTTTGCGAGATACGTGTATACGTACGGTAATTAACTACGAAAGGATCGATAACGTGAAGATTCTATGAACAAAGTTCAATATTGTTATTATTTAGTATACTTTATAAATAATACTGCATACAGCTTTCTTGTTATTAAAAACTAGCTTTCGTCTGCGACTCCATCCGCATGACATTAAAAAAACGCAAGTGAGTAGCCTATGTATTCCTCTAGGCTATACTCTACATCTCTACCAAATTTCATTAAAATCCGTTCAACCGTTTAGGCTACAAACGCTAACAAACATTCCTCCATCCATCCATCTAAACATTCGCATTTATAATATTAGTATGAAGTATGATTACCTCTTAGCCGTCAATTTCTTTTTACTTTCTTTCGACGAGGTAAACAATAGTTAAAAAACAGTAAATTACTGTTTCGTTGTTCTTTTTCTTCGGTTGCTATCGGAGCAGAGCTTTTTCAAAATTATTTTCTAATCCTAAGTAAAGTTCTCGCGGATAAGTTCTCGACAGATGCTTCCGCTTAAAATTCGATACCGCTTAAGATTCGTTATTCCGTAATGTTTTTTTTATTTAAATAATATAGATATATATGAAAAATTATATAGATTTAACTTCTAAACACCCAAAGCATATAAAAGAGACATTACATTTTAAAAATTAAAACTGCGCTGCATGTAAAACCGTGAAGCTCATCTAGCATATCCACATGTTATTATGCTAAATACACGACCCGAAATGAAAATAAGGTAACCCGAAAGATAATATCGCTGCGTAGACTGAGTCACCTCTAAATTATCTTCTTTGACGTTGTATAAAAGATGTTTATGTCAACAGCCTTCGTATCAAGCGGCGAAATTAAATGAGGTTTCAGTACATATATCGGAAAATAAATTACATCTCATTGAGCTTTCTTTTGAATTTAAAATCAAGTTTATAGAAACAGAGATGATCTTGAAAATACCATATTACGATATCCCATATTAAATAAAATAAACATTGTACAAAATTTCTCATTAAACGTAAAATCAACCTACATACGTTTGTCCGTGACAAAATACGACGACAACGACAACGACAAAATACGAATTAATATTTAAGGTACATAAAAATAAACTAAAAAACATGTAAAAGTAGGTAGAAAGCAAATAAAGACATACGCAAAATACTGTAGGAAATAGATAAAGATAGAGTGTTCTTATTTAATCAACGTTATTTCCTTTCCTGTGCAAAATCGGATATATTTTGATATTACAGAAAAATCCTGTGTAAAACATACTTCAGCAATATTAAGCTTAAGATAAGGTAATACTATACCTGTATTTTTATTTACATAACATTACAGACAATCTAATTATTCCAAAACATTTTCTACAATATTTTACTTAAGTATAACAATCAAAACTTACCTTTGCTTAAAGGACGATGTCACAAGATCACCAAGTCTTTACACTTTAACAGTTAAAGTCAATATTGAGAAAGATTTATTTCACATTAAAGGGCGGTGTGATAACCGAGGTGCATGACGCGAGCGCGGCGTTATCACTGAGTGGCGAGCACAACGCAGCACAAGGCGGGGCGGGCGGCGCCGAGGGCGGCTGGGCGGCGACTGGCTCCCCGCTGCCTCGGCTGCGTACAGCCTCGCCCGGCGCCCGGATGTGCTTCCTGTTGATCATTGCGACAGGTGATCCTGACCCCCGCCTTAATACCACGCTTAAGTCCATTAAAAACATTTACCCTAGCTCACTCTAAGAAATGCTGATTATTTTACTATCATGGCGCACACAGAGATGTAAATAGGTTAGGTTAGGTTAGGAAGTTAAGGGAGACTCTTAATATAAACTTACATTAAAGTACTAAAGTAAACCAATTAACTACTCTAAGTTCTACAATAAAAGATATTAAAACTCTTTCGAAACGTTTTATGAAGAAGAGGAAAATAAACAGTCGCATCGAGTTTAAGTGATTTCCGCTGCCTTTGTTTCTCGACCTTTCTCTCTTCAGAACATTTTATGTATTTTCCTATACATGTAAACACTAGATAAGCTGTAAATAACGCTTACGTTTTTCGGATGTTGAGAAAAAAGTTGTATAAAACGTTAGTATAGTAGTAGAAATAATTTTCTAACAACACAATAGAGGTTAATTACGTTAAATCTTTCTACGCAATTAATAAAATATCAACTAACGTTTATGTTAATAACAGTATGATATTATTCTTGCTATATGTCTATTTTTTTAATAATCCCCTATATTTTAATAGTCTAACTCAACTCTAGTTACACATTCACATGTTTTTGTTGATAACTCGTGTTGTTTTAATTCTGATACTAATCAAACTAAACCTTAAGTAACTGATACTTAAATGCTAGTTCAAAGAACTAATTCATAAAGTACTAAAAAGATTAATGATGACATGAAGTCATGCGAAAAAAAAATTAAAATGTTTTAACAATCTTTTATTATTTTTTCTTTTATAAATTAATAAGCTTTGTCTTTGACATGGTATTTCATTAATGCTACATCACTAACTACGGCTAAACCACCCACGCGTACACTTTTTATTCTCCGATCTATTGTTTGCTATCACAATATTATCGAAGACTAATAGATTGCTCGTACAAAAAAACATCGAATATTTCATACTAGCATTTGCCCGCGGTTTCGTAAGCGAATTAAAAAAAAATTATATATTTTTCCAAACTAAATTTTCATGGAGATCTGTTAAGCAGTTTTGGAGAGTTTGTAAAATCCATCCATTCATATGAACTTTCGAATATGAAGTATAATGAATTTACCACGAATCATTTTAATTTCTTACTGTTTACTTTAAATCTTATTTGTTAACATAATTTTCCAAACACTTAATTGAAATAATGAAAAATCCGTTTTGTTTAAAATCAAAGTCAAAGATTAATTTAACAAACTTTCCTACTTTATTATGTCACCATTTTCAGACACAATTTGTCAGAGACAAGAATATCCACTTTGTTGTGATAAAATGCCAAGATGTTTATATCAGTCTACTTGTGAATTCAGTCAAAGTTGTGTGCTAGACTGACTCATTTGTTTGCAGAGAACTTCTAATTTGGAGCGCGGGGTTCGTAAGTGGCAACTCCAGCTTGTAACTTAATTACTTTTCTTCAAACTTTCACCTTATTAGTTATTCTGAAATGAGTGGTCGTTCCAGCGGTGATTACCTAACTTTTACAAGCCTTCTAATCGGTTAGAGGAAGACAAAGATTTTATGATACATAATTTTAACGATAATACTCGAGGACCGTATCACTCTTGTTATGGTTATGTAACTACGCAAAAGTACTCGACACCCTTAAAAAAAACATTTTTTTTATTTGCTTATTGATAACTTACACTTACACTTTAAATGTTGACCGTTAATAACTGCAATCACTTAATAACGTTCCGTTCCTCCGTTTTCCATTAAAAAATTAATCGTCCGAATACACTCTCAATCTATTTTGCTACGAATTCCAGCATCCAATTAAATTGAAAATCCAATTTGAAAAAATGAAATAAGCCGTCATGTACAGGAATCCAATAAATTAAACCCTGAAGCTATCCAAGTTTTCGTGTTAATTGAAGTGTTGGAGTAATAAATGAAGTTTCTGTGAACACTTTCAATAATTCAAATTTTCTACAATCATTTTAATCTTTTAACTTTTTAAGCAAAATGTATATGTATGATGTATGATGTATGTATAATGTATGATACATGAAGGCAACATTACTCAGATCGACCAAGTTAGTTAGATCCCCGTCAACATCAGATCAGAACAACGCAATCAACAAACAACAGATCTGGTAGTTTGGTGCTATTGTTTTGACTTCTTGTAATCGACTGTAAAAATAGTGTACGTAAATGAATAATTATGAAATAAAATCCAGCTTACTATTATATTAGTAGGTTGAGAGCTCGTTAACACTTTCGTGAAGCCCAAAAGGTTAGAAAGATTAATTGTAATGAGTCCATTAGGGTGACCATTACTGTTATACAATCCCTTGTTTTCCATAACGGAGCGTTTTGTTTACACAATGTAAACAAAACTTTACCCAGCTAATGGAATAGGTTGACGAATTTTTTTTTAAGCAATTCATAATGTAACAATTTACCAATATTAAATATGTAACAAGTAAACATATTATCAAATTTCGTATAAATTGCTTAAGGGAACATATCTTAATACAACCGAGATTCAAATATCTACACAAACACGAATACTGTTCTACTAATTTTTTTGCAGTTATAGCAAAGTTAAGATTTGTTGAGCAACTACTTTTAAAAGAAAAGTTTTCACTTTAATTCTCTGATTTCTTTCTTGGGAAATCGAGATTTGTTTGCGAGAAAATATTCGCTTCCCTTACAAATCTCTGCATTCCCCGACCTTCCTAACAATGATCTTTTAAGCCCCCTGGCGACTGTAGCCATTATAAGTTCGGACCCATTTGGGACCAAAGGATCCGTTAAATTTATTGGAACTTTCTTCAGCTTTAGGTCAAAGGCATCTAAAAATATACATTTATTCGTCGCTTCTCATCACACATATATTAAAATAATAATAATTATAATTTTTACACGTCTTTATTAATTTCAACCCAATTGTTACTAACATCAGCATAAAATCATCTTATTACAATCATTTGTTTTTAAAGGGTATTACCTAAATCAAAAGCTTTTTACCTCACTCCTACTTAAACCTCTATGCGTAAAAACTATCAAATAAAAAGCATTTGATGTCCTCGTAAACAGCCTTTTAACAAAACACTTACCTTAAAAGACACTTCTAAAAGAAAATCTGTAAACGTTAGGGAAATACGTTTTGAAATTTTTTGTTTTAAGATTTATTGTTTTATACATAATTATCCCAATTAGATTAGATTGCAAACACCCAAATAGATTGAATGTAAACACAAACTTAGCATAAATTTCCTTTGATGTAAATTAATCTAGAACCACACAGTGGTAAACAGTAGTTTTGTAGTCAAGTGAAGCCTGTCTCTACGTAGTACAAAATTACCGCGCAGTAATGTAACAAGTAATAGGACATGATAACAATAGCAATTGAAAATTCCAACACCGATGAAGCGGACATCGTGATAAGATAGGGAAGGCCGATATGTGCTGATTGCTTTGGGGATAAAACTGTGAGTCAGCGTATGTTATTTGTTTATATCACAAGCTATAAAAATAAAAAAGTGTATTGGTGTTTCATAATATTATGGGTAGATAAATAATTTATCTATAAACTTGACAATGGTCAAGCGGTTAACATGACTTCGAAAAAGTTGTCATTAAATTATTCATATTGCTAATTAACACATAGTTTAGAACTTTAGTGTCGATAAATTACGATTTTAGAGCAACAAATATCTTCCGTAGCATTTATAGGAGCCACAGCCATGTTATACTTAAATAAAATATAGTCTCATTTACTTCTTATGTTTTCTGCCAACTTGTACAGAATAACCTTACCAATAACACAATTTTTCCATGTATTCACACTCCTCTGCTCGCCACTACCAATATGGCCGTCGTGTAGCCCAGTTAATACAACATAATAATGCGTTTGATTATGATTACAAAGTTTATATTGTTATTTTCAATAAAGATATGGTATTGATTTATAGCACAGACTAAATAATCTTTAAGAAAAACAGACTACATCAAAATAGTTAAAAAGCTAACACATTCAACATTAAAAAAGAAAAAGACTAATTATTTAGTCAACACATGCAGTATCGATTTACAAATAAATGACCTGATCTACTTAAAGGGAAAAAGAACATCTGTTACGATACTTTATAACTTGTCCCTCGCTGACCTTTTTTATTTTCAGTTTTTTGTAGCAGCTTGTATCTTGTGCTCTGACGAATTCCTTATTAACTTTTGTACAAAAAAAAACAATAACTTGTACTATTGATACAATAGTTTATGACAAAATTAAACGAATTTGATAGTTATCTGATGTCTGTTATACATTCTATTGTGAATATATTTCACAACTATGGTACCTCTACAAAGCCGTAAAGAATACCTAGTGTTATTCCTAGGGTTGTAACGGAACCCCGCTTCCGCATCCTCATGTGCGGAACTTCCGTGAGAAATATTAACTCAGGACCCGCTTCCGCTTCCGTTATTTCTTATGCGGAGGTATAACGGAGGTTAATTTATGTTTTTAACGCGAGTGGGGCGATTAGGTATCGTTTATGGGGCCCGCAAGGTCGTGCTAGGTCAACTAACTATAATTGTTATACATTATATTTGCATAATAAATTGTATCGTGTAATTATGTACCAATCTGTACTTTGAAATAACGTAGTTTTAGTTTTTATGTCTTTAATACATCGCAATTAATATTTTATTATTGACCTCCGCTTTCGATTTCGTTAACCTCCGGTCCTGCATCCCATCCG